GCTTAGTCAATAAAATATTTTAAGAAACAATGTGGAGGTTTTTACTACGTTTTAGATCTCTGAATATTCATGGAACTAATGTTTTGGTTTATTAGGAATTCTTTGCTAAGGCCAGGAGGCAACATCTGAGAACTGCTGTTGTATGGGAGAATGAGTGATCGTAGCACCAAGAGGTAGACTCTTGTCCAAGCTATTGTTTCTGTTGCCTGTGACAAAAGTTTCTAAATCTACATTTAAAGGTTTCACATCCAAAATGTTAAACGCGGGGGTGGGGGAGGGAATAGCACATCTAGTAAAATCAGCTGCTGTACGTGCATGCTGCTTAAAGCATGCCAGAGTACTTATTCTGCCTGAAAACGCCCTTGGCTGATTTCACAAGAATGTGAGCCAAATCAGCTTGTCTTGCATCTGCCTAAAGCTCTGAATCACCAAATGCTTTTACAGAAACACTTTGAGGGCGGCATTACTGATAAAAGATAAGAACACCGGAAATAGCACCTTCACTCCCCTTACTTCTGATTTTTGCCTGGCATTGTATCTTGTCTAAGCAAAGACCTTGGAGGGTTAAAAATAAAGAGAGATTAGATTTTTGTAACATGGACACTTCACAGTATTGTAATGTAGTGAGCTCCACAACATCCCGTGAGATTGGGAAGTATCATTATTCCCATATTTTACAGAGAGGAACAGAGGCATAGAGAAACTAATCTGACCTCAATCATCCTGTGACAGAGCAGGAATTTGTGTCCTGGTAGTACCCCACTGAACCATCCTTCCTTTCTGGTTCAATCTAGAGCTGAATTTCAACCAGCTCCGCATTCAGGGCTATTTGAACAGAGGGTTATTGTTCCACCTGTTATAGTCAGAGCTTCAGATTCAAGTGCCCAATACACCTCAATGTGAGAGCAGAAAGGTGATAGACTCAGAATGGTGAAGCCTGAACATCTGAGTACTGATGGAAAGCAAGCCTGAAGAGGGTTTAAAAAGAAAGGAGTCAAAATATGATTTTAGCTCAATCAAACACTAGTGAGAAAATGTTCATACTATTTTCTCATCTAAGCATTAACTGGTTTATCATCCTTTTGGAGATTATATAATAAACATATGCAAATTCACTTACGCTTGTCCTTCTCAGCACTTCATTGTATCCTAAGAAAAATATATATAGCCATAAATATTGTTAGGCCTCTGATAATAATATGCAAAACAAGGATTTTGTTGTTATGGCTTCCTGTGAAGGCTGGACAGACCACATACACTTTCAAAAAAAGGAAGTGTCTTCTGACGGACAGAACGTTTCTGACTCACAATATTGCAGTACATGTTTTTTACCAGACTTGCAGACACTGCGTTGCTGAAACTATGGTAAGTACAGAACTTTCTATTTATTTACTTTTCATACGCACAGGCCTATGTTTTAGAACTAAAATGACAGTGGACTGTAAATGTTTGTCTGTTTCCAGCAATTTTCATTTCAGTTCCCTGGAGTTGAACATCCTGCTGTTCAGAGAATGATGAAACTTTTTAATTTCTTTATTGTCTCTTTCCAAGGCCTGGTGTACTCTTAAAAATTAGAGCAACCTGATTATCACTCACACCTATGAAAAGTCGTCTGCCCTAAGTGCTGTAGTTAGATCGACCTCAAACTGCTGGTGTAGATGCTGCTAGATAAGTGGAAGAACACTTCCTTTGACCTACCTACAGCCTCTCAGAGAGGTGGATTGACTACACCAACGGAAAATGCTTTTCCTTTAATGTAAGACATGTCTACATTAGAGCATACTGGTGGTACACCTGCAGGACAATAGCAGAGTCTCTGTAATGTAGAAATGGGCCAAGTGATTGGGACAGAAAAAGGATGCATTTTACTGATTCTAGCGTTTCAAATTAAAGAAGAGAAAGCAATTGTTTTCTTTAGAGTAAATAAGGGAAAATGTAGTGGTGAACAATATGAATGAGACCAGCTTTTAGTACGGGCTGCTTTTTCCTCTGGGGTTGATGTAAAACTACTGTATCTGTATATCACAATACATGTATGCAAATAAATCAGTCTTTCATTGAGGACAAGGATATTGTAGGATAGATTCTTCATCTGAACACTTCCATGTTAGTGCAAATGTGTGGAACTTGTAAGCCAAGATGAATGCAATGTGAATTATTCTGATCTGGCTCCAGATTCTGAACACCCCAAAAGTTAGGGGGGCTTGATGGTTCCAGTAATCCAATAAAGACCACGTGTAAATGTTAAGATCTAGATCCAGGTTTATTCTGTAGCACCTTAAAAAGTTTGGAATGTCTGGATCTGGACTTTTGGTTAAGCCCTTCTCTAATGATGAAATCTTTCCTGAGTCTGAGGGATGGCTTCAGAGACTTAGAGAAAAATTTGGGATATCTAAAAATAACATTTCTTATCATCACTAATTTTCCTTGATTTTAATTACTAGTATTAATGATAGTTACTACCTAATATCCAAAGGTAAAATTCTGCTCTGTTACACTAGTGTAATTTGACTCAAACTCAGTGACGTTAATGTACACTTAATTTATTACGGGGGTAACTGGAAACAGAATTTGGCTCTAAATTTGTACAAGACTAGCATCCCATCATTCTATCCTGTTGTTTTTCTATTTATTGCAAAAATTTCATCCTTATCAATAGAGCTAGTCAATAAGGACACTAAATTTGCATGCACCTCTTGCACTTGCAAACCTTTGTATTTAAATGTGTGCGTGGTACACACCAACTCTATTGGCACAATTCAAATGTTCAGCTGCTTATCCAAATGGTGTTGTTTTCAGGGTAGTGAGTATGTATGCGAGTGTGTGGAATACAACTGTTGCCCCATGGCCTGAAAATAACAGAGCCACTTTTTTCTTTAAATTTAAAAACAAATTCTGCAAGTTTCTTGTTCTGAATCCAAATTTGATTATTTTGATAATTCAAAGAAATATAAAATAACCATGTTCATTTTTTATGCTAAAATTATCTTAAT